ATATCAATAAAAATTAGATATAAAAACTAACACCCAATTAATTTTCCATTACTAACTCAGTAGATCATAAGTTCACAATGATTTTAAACAAATGATTTGGTACTATGATCATGTTTTATCGTATAATGGTCCAAAAAGAGCACTTCATAAAAACTGAAAGTCTCTAGAAGATTATAAAATGTTTCACACGTTATTATTGGATTGAAAAGCCATCAATTTAGGAATTTTTTTTATAAAAATTGGCAAAATCCCTTTATGATTAAAAAGTGATGGTCTTTAAATAGTCAAACTAATGAAGCTCTAAAAAGACCATAAACAACTCAATCCTTATTAACTTTAACTACTTAATCTCAATGAGAACATAACATACTTGTACTTTAGTGTTTGTTTGAAAAAACTATCAATCCTTGTAAGACCTTAAATGCTCGTGCCTTACCACTAGTTTGAAAATTTTTTCTTTAGAATTATTGCTTGCCACCCATAGCAGTCAATTACTTCTAACTCATTAGAATGTCATCTTGCAATGACATTAAACTAATGATTTGATGCATCATCTTGCAATTTTATTTTTCCTCATATATAATACTACAACCATTATACTTGAGAACAAGTTTGCATTAATTAAATTGGTATCACTACATTAAAGTTGAAGATGTCAGCTAGATCATGACATTACAGAGTCGTAACCATAATATGAACTAATACAAATATAAAAAAAACAACTCATAATCATTGTCATGCTTGGGATTTTACCTTTCTTAGTAGCTTTAATTTTAATGGAGTGGTCAAATGTGAACTTCAACTACGTCAAGTTCCTATCTATGTGCCATCTTGAATTGGCTAGAGAATTCATATGTGGTGAATGTGTGTTAACTATTATAGAAGGTAGAACCCATCTTGGTTAGGAAACTTGAGGAAGAAGACAGAAAATAAAAGAAAACTTCTAAAGCTTCACGAATTCCAAAAAGATGAAATTTTAAAACTTAAATATAAATGTGAAAATGTGAGGGCAAGACAATAATTATGCAAATAATTATGATTATAAGGCCATTATACAAAATAATGTTTTTAATTAAATAAAAATTTTATCAAACCATTCACATCAGATTGGCAAAACAATAGAAATAATTTTTCATTGTAATAGATAAAGGAAAGAGTATAGTGACTTTTACAACTTATCTTTATTATATAAATAGCTTCCTCTATTAATAAAAGAAGTAACCGAAAACTAAAAATTAAAATTGTTGACAATTTCAAGAGGAATTCAACCACTTTAGAACAAATTCAACCCTAGTCATAAATTGATCAAACTTTATAGACTCAAGATATCTATGAAAAAAATCAAAAGCTTATCATTTATGTGAAAGATTTCTCTTTTCATTTCATCGAAATAATTTTTCAATTAAGATATTTGGTGTGAGAATTTACCTTATCAAAATTGAAGCCATATTTAAATTATTTTATCATGAAAATAACTCATTACTCTTAAAATTTCCACGTCCACACTTATTTTGGGGTAATAAAAGTAGTTGTGTATTCTGGAATTATCTCTCTAAGCAAAGACACTGGTATCATTTGTCTCAATAATTTGGATTTTGAGAGGAGTGGCAACACTCTTCTCAGTTTTGACTTGAATTTGATCCAAAAAGCATGTATACAATAGAATACACATAGTTCAAGTAACAAAATGCGAACATAATGTTCCAAACAACAAATAAATTTATACATTCAGTAGGTGGCCTTGCCACCCTAACTTTAGGATTGCCAAAGTTTGACAACTTAGCAAGAGGAAGGACGATATCCTCAGAAATCTCTTGCAAAGAATTGATCTTTCTAAGAAACATTTGTGCAAATATCATCAACTATATTTGACTTCACAACAAACCTTTAATTAAATGTGTTGATCAACAGATCACCGTTCGCTCATAAGTTCACTCAGAGTGACTTGGAATATAAAATCAATTCATTCATATCAAATTACTGGTTAAATTAATATTATGAACACATTTTCCAAAATTACACACTGAAATATTCCAGGGGATTGATAAGACGCTCATTCGCTTGAATTTGTCTAGCTCATATTAAGGTAATGAAGGTTCTATCATATTTTGGGAGTCTAAAGTCTAAAGTAGTTGGGGTCTCAACATCAAACAATGGCTTTATAACAGGCAGACATTCGACAACAATTGAAGACCCTATAATAGGGTGAGTAAAAGAAGTCCCATCCATGGGGACTTACTCATATTTCTCAATATATACTTTAGCTCATTCTCTTTCTCGAAGCTCTCAGATTTCCTGCTTTTGCTAAAAAGGGTGGCCATCAGATTCACTCATGGAATGATGATTTTCTCAACTAGAGCATTCTCAATTTTTCACGAAAAAAAGAACAAGCATTGGATTAAAAAGAAAAGAGAGGGATTGTTCAACATTACGGAAAAGTAATAATACTTTACCTTCTATTTATAGAGAATAACATTGGACACAAAAAAAAGAAGTCAAAATATGCTAACGTCATAAATAAATGCATATATTTCAATGTTGCTATTGTTGAATTTATAAAGATTTTATTCTTTTATTTTTTTCTAGTTTCACTATGAATGAGATAAAAGAATCAACGACTCAAATATGTATAGTCAAACATTCTAAATCGACCCCAAGCTAAAACATTGCACCTAAAGTGTGACTGAAATCTAAGCCTATTTTGAACATTTCAAGACAACATAGTAGAGCTCGACTAGTGAGATGACTTCTAACAAAATAGTTTAGTTCATCATCTCGATTCAATGGATCGACACAGCCAGATAAATTGGCCAATCAATTTAATCGATCAACTCACCAAGTCAATTCGACCATCTAGTTTGACAAATGAACTCAACTCAGAGACGTGGCCAATCAATTCAACAATTAAATAAGTGGGCCAGCCCTGCTAATCAATTTGGAAAATAAGCTTGAATTAATCTCGCCATTAGGCTACATGCTTAGCTATTTCATTTATTATTTATATACATTGTACTCATTATTTCCATGTAGCTACTTATGTAGCATACCTAAAGCTAACCCTAAATCTATAATAGTGAAGACCACCTCAATGGAGCTCTCTATAATAGCTACTTCATAATCAAAATTTGACCTGTTTTCTCTATCTCATTGAAGTGTTGCTTGTATTGTAAAGTCAAAATATAAGTAAATAAAAAAAAGTGTATGTACCAATTTGTAAAAACGATTTTCAGAATTGAAAAGCAATAAATAAATGTGATAAAGATGTATTTCACATTTAAAAAAATATAATCCAATTATTTCTAATGTGATATTAAATATTTCTTTTATATATATATATATATATATATGAAAGTTAAGATGCTAAATATGTAAATGCATACAAATTTTGTGATATGTATGCAAATAACCCCAAAAAACTAAAGAGAAAAAATCTATAATTGAAGCGTTAATTAGGGTGGTTAAAAAAGCTCGTCATTCGCAAAATTTGATTCGTTGTTAAACAGACAGTTGAACGCAACTAATTTTTTGAGCCAAACACGAACATGTGTTTGTTCGTTTATGTTCGACCCATTTTGACTCGAAGTAATTAAATAATAATATTTACTTATATCACTTTTATGTTAATTTTCTATATTGTATTTAATAAAAATATATATAAGAGATTTTGGTGATATAAATGTAAAAAAATAAAGTTTAGGTGCTAGATATGTAAATACAGAGGAATTGAGTCCTTTGTGTGTGGATCCCAAAAATAAAAATAAAAATGCAAAGCATCATGTTTTATGTTTGTCTAGATGTTAAATATGTAAATATATAGGAATTGGCAAGTATGTATATAAATGCACCCGCCCCCGAATCGGCTAGTATGTTTTAAGTTTGTAGGTCATATTCGACTCATTTTGAATCGAAATGATTAAATAATAATATTTACTTCTATCATTTTTATGTTAATTTTTTATACCATATTTAATAAAAATACATATAAGAGATTTTAGATATATAAATGTAAAAAAGTAAAGTTTAGATGTTAGATATGCAAATACATAGGAATTGACTCCTTTGTGTGTAAATGCCCAAAAAAAAATGTAATGCACCATGTTTTATATTTGTTTAAATTGGTATATATATAGGAATTGCTCGGTCCATTCTCCCGTTCATATCCCACATTTAGGGTTTGTTTGGGGTAGCCGCAGCTTATTAAATAGCATATATTAAGCTACTGAAATATAATCAGATGTTCGAAAAGTTGCGGTGATTATTACAATTTTTTTTTTAAATAAGTGAGACCGTAGCTAGAAAGATGTCACTGCACTTAGCCCAGATATGTGAGAAAACACAAATTTCAACGATAACTTTTTGAAAAAACTGTCAAAGACAAAACTGCGGTGTGGCGCCACACGCTCGCTGTACCGCCACCCCAAACAAACTTTTACTCTTACATTTATTTAGTCCAAAACATATGGGAAAATTTTACTTACCACCTTGGAGAAATAATTGTATGGCCCGATTGGCCTACTTGGGAATTCTTGCTCAAGAGCTTAGCCTGAGCTCATTCAAGCTAAAATCAAGCAAACAAACGAGCAAGTCTATTTCGAGCCACGCATGAACAATTTCGAACAACTTCAAGCGATATTGAGCCAAACAAGATCAGAACCCTTACGAGTCTATTTCAAATACGGGCCGATTTCATACAGGCATTGATCCAAACAAGTCGAACTCGAACAAAAACTCTTAATTAGGATTCTAAAATAAATTATAGAACTAATTAGTATCACATGTATAAACAAAAAGTATATGTTTTTATATTTCTATTATAACAAAAGCAACAATCAATAAACCCTAATTTTAAAACTCAAAATTCATTTAATATTTATAGTCATCTTTCTATTTCTATGAAATTAAAATCTTTCAGATTCAGACATTTATTTAACTCCAATTATGATCCTATTAAAATCACTTTATCAGCAAAAAATTCCATAAATATGAAATAAACAAAAAAAATCAAAGATTCTTCCTCCGCAAAAGCCCAAAAGCAAACCTCAGTTTCAATGCGTATGCAACGAAAGAACGATTGTGTAGAAGCCAATCTACTTCTCTTCTTTTACACCAGCGGTGCGTGAAAGGAAAAGCTAGGGTTTTGCCGGATTCACATGTTCTGCGTGCAGCGCTATGGAAGTTGTCTGACTTTTTTTGATCTCGGATCGAACCATTGTAAGTCCTGTCATTCTGTGGCGCCGGAGAACACTGGCGCTGAAAAGAGGAGCTGTTGCTGACTGTGCGGATTGTTTTCGGTGCTTCGATCGGCGCTGTATGGGAATGGGTTCGCTGTTTGGAAATCCTTGTTTTGGATTTATCTGATTGAATTATTGGGGCTGTTTTGTCAGTTTGTTGGGTGGTTGGTTTGATAGTTGATCGGATTTTGGTTGGTATTCCTTTGTATTTTCTTGTGAGTCGGATATATTAAATTGACCAATAATCAAATTAGGTTTTGGTTTTAGAATGCGTGTGTAGAAAGCTCCGAAACTTCTACTCGGAAGAGGCGCTTCTTTGAGCTAGATGCTGTGGGAATCTTACCAGTTTATTTGTTTTCAAGGAAATGGGATTTCTTTGAATGGTTTGAGATAGTGCTGGTGTGACTAAAGCTGGATATATGGGTGAGATTGGACTGTTGAGTCTAGGATGGAAGTGGTTGAAATCTCAGAAGCAGGCTTTTGTGGGAACCCAAGTTGCACTGGGCTGCTTAAGGGATAGGCTTGTCTTTCTGATCGACCAGCATTGGCCACTGGTATGTAGATGGAGTAGGAACCTTGGGAAATTTTTTTTCGAGTTGATTTGGCTATGGAGGGATTGTGTTGTGAGGGGTCTAACATCGTTGATTGGTCTTGGTTCGACGGCACTGTTTGTGATCTTTTGGAGCTCCTTTCTTAGTTTGGCATCAACAGTTTGCCTTTTTTATGTGCTTCTGAGCATGGTGAGCTGTCTATTTTTAGTATGTTGTGCGGCTAATTCTTTGAATTTGCATTTATTTTGCTGCTTTTTATAACCAACTAGATGAATAAATTCTTTCTCTATGTATGAGTTTATTTGCAAGTTCATTACTATATAACTTGACATTGCATTTTTTTTCTTGAAAAATTTGATTTTTAGTCATAGCCTTCAGACCTTTTTGCAAGTCTTGGCATTCTGGTGGAAATATTAGATCTTCACTGATCTGTGTGAATGAATAATTTACTGGCTTATTTTGTCTGTTTGATAAACAAGCTTGGAATATGCTAAATTTGTTTGGTTTCTAGTAGAGATTAATAACATGATCTAGGTTGGGATTACCTCAGATACATATGTTTCGGTGACTTTAAAAAAGGATCTAAGAGTTTGTTAAATTTACAACATTGTGAATATGTGTAGTGGATTTTCATGAAATTCCTTGATTGTCATCTTCTCGGAAATGGTGTATTAGTGTGCAGGGGAGATTTGATCTGCCTAGTTCATTTTAGACAAACTTATGATTACTCACTATGGCCTGGATTTTTCAGAATCATCAAGTTCCATCTACTGTAGCTATGTCTATAAACTTTTTTTGTCATTTGAAATGTTGTTTGATGTGTTTTCATGAATTTGTATTGTTCTAATTTTGGAGATATATCGTTAAACCCTCTATGATGCAATTTTAAAAGTTAATTCTAATCCTATATTTGGTCAATTCCTCTTCTCAGCATTCACCAGCTTTTTTGTCAAGATCTATGTCCTTATTTAATACAGCCTTCTCGCTCTGCTGCAGATAATTACTTTCCTCAAAGTGCCACTCTCATCTAGTTGTATAGCATTAAATTCTAATTGTTCTACAGCTTTGAACTTGTACGGAATTCTTTTATTTCTTCATTATTCTGAAATTTTTCATATTTGCCACACCGTTATGCTTGATTTTTCTCTAGTAGCCAATGCATGCCTATTGAAATTTGTTCCATATGACAAATTTCCAGTAACAAAATCCTTAACGTTCAAAGATTTTTCATCGATAATTATGTTATGATAATTTGTTTTTCGACATCTAAGTACAGTTTTTCAAATTAAATTTGGAAAAAAAATGAGGGAATTAGAAATTAAATTTTTTAATTTGGGAAAAGGGAGGGCAATAAAATAGCTATGCCACTTATAACTTACCAGTCCCTTATGTACATATGTCGATTATAAATAAAAAAAAAAATTGTAGGTTTTTCACATCTTTTGTGTTGACTACTTATTACTTACCTTGGGACTAAATTGGCTTTTGGGAACTGAAAGGTAATTGGGGATGCCTGGAGCTATTCGTACGATTACTTTGCGTGGTTGACTTGGATTAGCTCATCAAAGTTGATGTTTGCATGAATTTAGCATTTATCAGTACCTTTTAACCATTCCAAAAAGTGCGATATTATATCTTGGCTTATGATGTATCTATTAGTATTCGTTACGAATCTGGTAATTCTCTTTCTTGAAGATAAATAAGCAATTGTGTTAATTTGAATGCAATGTACGGCATTAGTGTGATAAGCAACATCTTATTAATTGATCCTTATCTATTTGATCATTAAAAATTTGTAAAGAAATTTACATAAGCATTCTAATAAACAAGACCTTTTCTGCTTAAAATGGAGAAATAATTTCGTCAAAGAATTTCAATTTGTATTGGTACTAGTAGGACTAAACTCTGAAAATCAAGAATTCTCATTTGATAGAATTATTTTAGTGTTCATTGCAAATCCTTTAGTTATTCCCTTGTGGCAATGTCAGGATGACTGTAATGAAATTTTGAAAGGGGCATTGAATTATCTTAGATAAATAGCTAGAGTTTGATATAAATTAAATTTAAATTGGAGCATAAACATAATTTTAAATTTCATTTACCTAAACACATTAAAATCTAGTTTTCTTTAAAACACAATTTTAATTTGCATTTTCAATCATTTAATCGTTAACTGATTTTTTTTCTTAAAATTGAAATTTTAATTTAATAGTGTATTAAATTTTTTTTAATATTATTTTAATTTAATTATTTAGTGAGCAATTTAAGTTTTAGGGTTTAGGGCTTTATAAAATTTTGTAATATTTAATAATCTTTGTTCCAGAAGATAAGTAAAAATTTAAATATTATAATTTAGCAGTGATTAGTAAATTTAAATACATAACTAATAAAAATTAAAATATATTTGTAAAATTAACAATAAATTTTTAAATTAGTAAACTTAGTAAAAGTTATCTCAAAAAATTATTTATATCAACATATATGTTAGCATTAAAAATTAGTAATTGCACATTAAAATTTTAGAGAATTACGTCAAGTTGTGCATTAAAAGTATTCTATAATTTTAAATTAATTGAGTAAAATTATAATTGAAATTAATAAATTTATTCTAATTGAAATTTCAGAGAATTACGTCAAAATGTGTTTTTCTTAGAAATAAGATATTCAACATAGGTAGGTGAGTTATTTTGATAAACTTTTTAATGAAGTTTCTAAATTTATGATCGACCTTAGTGATGTTAATATAGTTAATAATAATAAAATGTTTCATTTTTACCGTTGCATTAGTAAAAAAGAAACTGAGGAGGCTTTAAAGAAAACCAAGGGTGGAAAGTCTGTAGTACCTGATGATATCTCAATTGAAGTATTGAAGTGTTTAGGAGATTTGGGAGTTTCTTCGCTTACTAAACTCTTTAATATTATTTTAAAAACTAAAAAGATGTCTGAGGAGTGAAGGACAAGTATTTTGGTCCCCATTTTTAAGAATAAAGGGGATGGACAAGAGTGTGCAAATTATAGAGGAATTAAGTTGATGTGTCATACTTTAAAATCATGGGAGATGGTAATTGAACATAGGTTAAGACGTATTACAGAAATTTCTCATAATCAATTTGGATTTATGACGGGCAGGTCTACGATGGAAGCTATACATTTATTAAGAAGTTTGATGGATAAGTTCAAAGATAATAAGGAGAATCTACATTTGATTTTTATTGATTTAGAGAAAACTTACAATAAGGCTCGAAGAGATATCCTTTGGAGAGTTCTTGAGAAGAAAGGTGTTGATATGACTTATATTCAAGTCATTAAAGATATGTATACTCGAGTTGTATACTAGAGCTGTTACTTGTGTTCGAACTGAAGATTTTCTGACCAAATATTTTCCTATTTCTGTTGGATTACATCAGTGATCGACTTTAAGCCCATATCTTTTTGCTTTAGTTATGGATGGTCTTACTGGACATTTACAGAAGGATGTACCTTGGTGTATGCTTCTTGTTGATGATGTCCTCGTGGATAAGACGAGAGAAAAGCCCAGGAAAAACTTGAATTATGGAGGTCTACATTGGAGTCTAAAGGTCTTCATTTGAGTAGAACGAAAACTGAATACATGGAATGTAATTTTAGTAGTAGTAGCTCTAGTGACAGAAGTGTAACTTTGGGTGATCAAATTATTAAAAGGTGTGAACGATTTAGATATCTCGGGTCTATTGTTCAAAGCGATGGTGATATAGATGGGGATGTTAATAGTAGAATTCAAGTTGGTTGGTTGAAGTGGAGGAATGCTTCAGGCTTTTTGTGTGATAAAAAAGTACCGCTTAGACTGAAAGGAAAATTT